AAAAAAAAAAAGTGTCTGAAACCTAAGAAAGAAGTGATGAAATTGTCAGGGGAGAAAGATGCCCCCAAGAAAGCTCTGGTTGGTAACATATCATTGGCATTGCAAGATCCAGCTTTTAATGATAAAATTGCAATTTCAAAGTATTTTCTCCTTTTCAATTTAAGGGAACTAGGACCCCCAAAGCATGAGGGATTTGAGAAATGGGTCATGCGTTTGTCACACACGCTGCTGCAGAGAGGAGAGGGCTCTTGAGAAACCATCTCAGATTTAAAATGCGACTGCCAATTCATTTGTTTACTCAGCAGCTATTTTGTGAGGACCAAACCATCATAAGGATAAAGTCTCCTAGGAAGCTACAGGTGTACAGCATATTACTGCCAGATTTGCAACTGGGCTTAGCAGACCCAAGAAATGTTGTCATTTGTCAAATTTCTTTGGATTTGCCCTTCATCCCCAACAGCTAGTGCTCCTTAGGGACTGGGCTGAGTCTCGGGCCCAGACTTATACATCATGGGATAGAAGTGTGTTGGGAAGAAGCCTCAAGAAAGAGTTAAAGCTTTTGGGTCAGTTTCAGGGTGTGTTTGCTTTGAGCTCTGGGCACCGGATTGTCTCAGAATGGGATATTGTACAAGCAAGCTGATTTTCTTGGAGAGCTCATTAATTCAGAAGGACTGTGAGCGGGGATTGTTGCCTGAAGGACTGAGCACACTTGTTCTCAGCAGGGAGCACCTCTGTCTTCCTCAGATCCCTTTGTCTCTGTCCTCTGATCCCCCTGCTGACCCACAGGTATTACTCTTTCCTGTATTTCATACTTTCTCAGAAGACTTCCCAGAGTGCAAAACCACCATCTATCATCCATCCTCAGGTTTTTGTACTGTGGTGGCTTCCATGTTGCTGTGATGCTGAAAGCTATGTCACCAATATTTCAAATACCAGTAGAGGTTCCCAGTGGAACTTCTGGACTAAGGTGAAGTAAGAAGATCCGCTTCCGAAAATTAGCTAATGGAACCTTTATGGACCATGACAGAGGATTATCCAATACAGTGCTGAAAATGAACCTGGTTCATTTAGCGATTTATTTACCCACTATTGTTAAGTGCTGTTAGTTCAGTTCCAACTCATAGCAACTCTGAATAGGGTTTCCGAGAAGCAGCTGGTTGAACCACCAACTTTGTGGTTCAGTCCATTATCCTACAGTGCCACACCAGGACTCCAGCACATACTTAGTAAGAATTCTGTTCTTGTGCTGAATGTATTCCAGATGGGATAAATATGATTTGTTTGTAGACTTAACATCTACCAAGAAACTAACCAGTTGTTGTCGAGTCAATTCCGACACATGGTAGACCCATGTGTTGAAAAAAAAGAACTGCCCCATTGGATGACCTTCAGAAGCAGATCATCAGGCCTTTCTTCTAAGGTGCCTCTGGATGAGTTCAAACGGCCAATCTTTTTGTTAATACTCAGGTGCTTAGCCATCTGCACCTCCCAGGGAATTCCTAACATCAACAGAGAGAGAAATATAAGAACTCGTGAAGGCACAAAAAAGAAGAAAGCAGAACACGTTTAGTTGGCAGTGAATCCCCATGTGGCTTGATTGTAAGAGGAACTTGTCCCTGGAGTAATACAAAACTGTGACTTTCTACAGAAGGCGAAGGCTGTGTCATGTAGCAGTGGGGATGCAATGAGCACCTTAAGCAGGAAATTGATATAATCAGGTGATAACACATAAGACATTCTATGTGGCCACTGAATAATGTGCTATTGTTACTGCCCTCCAGTGCCCTTTCAGCCCACGGCTCCACAGAGGCTGTGGAATGGGAACCAAGGCTCCAACCCTGTGTCTAGCCCCATTTGTATAACAGAAGTGGAACACTTATCTTTCTAAGAGGATATTTCAAGGAGCAAATGAGATGATGAACATGAAAGCATATTGAAAAATTAAATATAATGTTGTTAGATAGTGGTGCCAGTGGCAGTATTCTTTTTAATGTGGTATCATTCTTCTCATTACCACATCCATCCCTTATGAAATTCTTTGAGAAGAAAAGGAGAAGGGAGGAAACAGCAGAGCCTGTCTCTGAACAGGGCTGCTGTGAGACCAGGCCCCAGCCATGCAAAAAAAACCAGCAGCCCACCTGCTGGCTTCACCTAAGCAAACGACAGCCCAGAGAAACCCCAGGAAGCACCCTGAACGCGAAGGCGGGTGTCAGCGTTACCCCCACAGAGGTGGGACACCGGCTCCCCACCCTCTTCGGAGAAGGGGAGTGGTTTCCAGGTGACTCATAGGAATAAAATGCACAAGAGCCCAAGAAACAACTAGCATTCTTTGTAGCAGGTCAAGTGCCAGGACCCATATTGTTTTCTAACTTATCTCAAGATCAGTAAAGGAAATATGAAAAGGCTGGGCTCTAGTCCTCTCAGAACAACAGCTATTTCTGCCCTCTGCTCTCTCGATGGGAACAATCATCCCATGTAGCCTGACTTAAGTAATAAGTGATATCACCACCCAAATGAAGGTTGCTAATGTTGTTAGGAGTCCTGGTGTGGCACTAGGGGATAAGCATTGCACTGCAAGGTCAGTTTGAGCCGTAAGGTCAGCAGTTCAAACCCATCAGCAGTTCCTCGGAAGTCCTATACAGGGTCGTTATGAGTCAAAAAGGACTTGATGGCACTTAACAACAACAACATTGTTAGGAGAACTTCTTGTGTGGCACTGTGATAAACACTGGCCAATAAGGTCAGTTTGAACCACAAGATAAGAGGTTCAAACTCACCAGCCACTCCTTGGAAACACTATACAGAGTCACTATGAGTCAGATCCAACTCGATGGCACTTCACAACAACAACACAACACGAGAAACAGAATGTTGCAGTAAAGGCCACAACTGGTCCCCCAGCTCATAACTCTCCCTGGACTCAAATTCATCCAGTTCACACAAATAATAGTAATGCATTACAGGAGGTAAAAATCTTAACTGTAAAATGCCGGTTGTATTGGAGGCATATTGTGATCAGTCAGAGTGTGGGACTTGGGAGTTCCAGCCAGACATTGTTTCCATTCCTGGTCATGTCATTTACTGGTTTCGTGATTGTGAGGTGATTTCTTCACCTCTGTAAGCTTTGGTTTTCTTCTCTTTGAAATAAGAATAATAGTAGCGCCTACTTCATAGGTAAAAGAATCTCTCATAGCATAGCAGTTACGAATCAGGCTGCTAACCTCAAGGTTGGCAGTTTGAAACTACCAGCAGTTTCACGGGAGAAAGATGAGGCTTTCTGCTCCCGTAAAGATTTGCAACCTCGGATACCCTGTACAGGGTCACTATGAGTTGAAACTGACTCCACAGTACTTAACAACAACAACAACACCTCATAGGTATGGTGCTGTGGGCTAATGTGCTAGACTGCAAAGTCAGTTTGAACCACTAGGCTGGCAGTTCAAGCTCACCAGCTGCTCCTTGGAAACCCTATACAACATCACTATGGGTCGGAACCGACTTGACGGCACTTAACAACAACCTCATAGGAATCCTGATGTAGTACTGTAGGATAAGCACTGGACTGCTAACCACACAGAATTCAAACCCACTCAGGGTTGCTATGAGTCAGAACTAACTCAATGTTACTTAACAACAACTTCATAGGTTTAGTCACCTAGTGCACATGCAGTACTTAGCAAATATTCAATAAATGTTATGCAGTATATTATTGTCAATTGAATGTCATTATATGACTGGGATCTTGAGCTGGAGTGTACAACAAGCAGTACTGGTCCCCAGGGGAGAGAGACCGGAGGCAGTCTCCCTCAGCCTCGTCTCCTCTGACCTCTTCCCACAGGACTGTATGTGCTGGTTGGAGCCGGGGCCCTGATGATGACCGTGGGGTTCTTTGGGTGCTGTGGAGCCATGCGGGAGTCGCAGTGTGTACTTGCATCAGTAAGTGGGGCCGGGGGCAGGGAGAGTGTTCAAGGATGTGGTCTCCAGCCCAAGCTCCTCCACAGACTCACTGAGACCTTGCCAATACCCTCTCTCTCCCCGAGTCTCAGTTTCTCCAGCTCTCGCATAAGAATATTACCTTTGTACTTGCCTCATATGGAAAGTGTGCAAATCAGTGAGTCATTAGTGTGAAGATGTTTGGGGAGGAAAAATGCCTAGGACTTGTACAAGACTATTATGCTTGTGCTTGGCTGCTAAACCAGCAGGCCTTCCAGGGAAGAAAGATGTGGCTGTCTGCTTCCATAAAGATTTACAGCCTTGGAAACCCTACTGGGCCTGTTCTACTATGTCCTAAAAGGTCATTATAAGTCAGAATTGACTCGACAACACTCGGTGTTTTTTTAAATAATTGTTCTTCAAAAAACAATATTTCATGGTGAGAGAGGCAGCTATAAGACCCTGTAGTCAGGAAAGTACTGTTATCTACAAGAAAACATGTTTGCTTGAGATCAGTAACGTAACCAGACATCCCCCTTGTGGCTTTGTCTTTAATGAGCAGTCACTGTTTTAAAGATAAGTAAATAAATAAAATGATTTAAAGTAACTGCTACAGTTGTAATGTGGCCTAAGGAGAAGGAAAGAGAGGGGCAGAGCACAAGAAAGTCTTGTAATTCTCCACGGAGAGTCAGAACCGCTATTTTATTAGGGAGCCTCACTTTGCTCATTGCAGCCTTTGGATTTTTCAGCTGTGGTTGTGTATTCTGATCTCTTCTTACATAAAATTCTTAACTCATTTCCTCAGCCATCCATTCTTTCTCTTTCCCCGTTGTTACATATTTCTGTTTGGGTTATCACTGAACTTAAGTTTGACCAGTGTAAACCCAAGGCACCTGGACAGAGAAGCAGCCCCTCATTGACACTCTCATTTCTGTTCCTAAAGGACCATCCCCTCCAACAGGCCTTCTTTCTGGACCATGCAGTTCTCCCCAAGCCTAGATCACAGTGATCACTCCCTATCTCCTAACCTTTCTGTATATTCTTAATAGAACCTTATTTGTTCATCAAATATTTATTGAGCATATTGGTGTCAGGTAATGTTCTAGGTGCTGGTATTTCTATATCACCTATGGCACTATAGGATCAGCACTGGACTGCTAATCACAAGACTGACAATTCAAACCCACTAGCTGCTCCTTGGATACCTGTACAGGGTCACTATAAATCAGAACCAACTCGACAGTGCTTAACTACAGTCTGATATTATAATATTAACTTTTGTATTGGTTACTTGCCACATATTCCCTCTATAATGTAAGTTGGAGCCCTTGTGAGGCGCTGTTGGCTAATGCACTAGAACATAAGGTTGGTTTGAACCACTAGGTTGGCAGTTCAAATTCACCAGCCACTCCTTGGAAACCCTATATACAGGGTCGCTATGAGTCGGAACTGACTAGACAATACTTAAAAACAACAATATAAGTTAGTCCATGATAGCATTCATAGCCTCGGGAACTCTAAATAGGGTCACTATGATTGGAACTGACTTGAAGGCACACCATCACCACCGCCATGATTGCAGAGACACTGGGCACTTATCTTATGCTCCACCGTACACCCAGCACCAAGGACAGTACCTAATACAGAATAGCTGCGCAATCAAAGACTGCTGAATGAATAAATGAATCAACGAACTACAAAAAAGTGATCCAGCTCTTACATGAAGGGGACTGAAGCAAAAAAAAAAAAAAAAAAAATGGCTTTCTTTGGATCGATTTAGACAAATAGCTTTGCTTAATGTCTTTCAGATGGAACTAAATCAAAGAGCCTAATTAAGCTGTGAAAAGGTATTGAATTAATGAAATTCATGTTTTCTCTCCTTTACAGTTCTTCACCTGCCTACTGGTGATATTTGCCGCTGAAGTAACCACTGGAGTATTTGCTTTTATAGGCAAGGGTGTAGTAAGTAAAAATGACACTCAATGTTTTCTGTATAATGATTGATGTATTCTCTTTGCAATGTAGGAGATGAGAATATCAGTACCTACAATAACAATAAGAAACCAAACAGCCACCAAAATTATCACTGAAGCAGAACTTCTTGACCCAGACGTACTGGACAGAACTGAGCATATGTGTCTATGAGTGGCCAAGTTAATGATGTACACAGTGCATAGCTTTCATTAGACTTGGGGAAGAGTTTATGATCCAAAAAATAATAGTAAGGATCTCAGTTTAAAGTTAAGTCCAAGTTGAAATGGAGGTAGTAGTTAGGTTAAAGACATGGGGAAGAGAAATGGGAACAACATGCATTGTCATCCCTTGTTAGAATTAGACTGTCACTTGTCCTTAAGACTTGGTCTGGACAGGGGGCTGTGTTGTCCTCAAAGACTAAAGCCTGACCTGCTGTTGTTGTTGCCAAGTGCTGTCGATTTGGTTTCGACTCATAGCGACACTGTATCGGGTTTCCAAAGAGCAGCTGGTGGGTTTGGACTGCCAAACTATCAGTTAGCAGTCCAGTGCTTATCCTACAGTCCACGCCAGGACTCCTACTGTGTGCTAGGTGGTTTAAATGTGGTGCCTGAACAGTAGATGTTTGTAATAGATGATCAGGACAACCCACATAAGAAGTGGTCATCTTAGATGGACAAAACATGCTGGAAAAGAGAGGAATTCAATAGAATTGAATTGAGGAAGAATGGAATCTTAAGATTTATAGTATTTCAGATAACTTCAAGTACTATCAGTATTGTGTTTATGAACTTATTTTCCATTACAAAAATTGTTAAAAATGTAGAATAAGTAAATGTCACTTCTTTGGAATTTTTCCTATGTAGCTAGTTATATTTGTGTTTTTATTAAGTGCCATTGAGTCAAAACCAACTCATAGCCACCTCATACAGGGTTTCCAAGGAGTAGCTGGTGGGTTTGAATGACCAACTTATGGTTTGAAGTTCGGTGCTTATCTTGCAGTGCCACCTCCAAATTCACCTCCATATAGAAGTGGAATTGGACCTTATGACTCTCCGAGATCTTTGTTGATTGAGGGTGGGGCACAGTTCCTTCATACTATAAAAAGCACTTAATAAGCTTTATACGATATCTCAAGGAAGAAATCTTTTGCATAGTGATGAACACCTTTTAAAGCATGTCATGAAAGAACTTGAGTGCATATAACCAGTGGAGTACCAGCAGGACATAAGACCTAAACCTGACTGGACATCAGAGTCACCTGTGGGCAGGCAGCAGGAATCTGGGGCTCAGTTAATACTGATGCCTGATAAAGATTGGGAAACACCACTCTAAGAAATTTTTCTAGTCCATAAAAATCTGCCCTTGTTTAGTCTGTTCTTCCATCCTCAAAAGCATCTTAGATAGTCCAGAATCTATAGCCTCTTTCTTATATGCAGAGCTACCTTAAAATGCAGATAACCATATGGGGAGATGGTGGTTTTTCAAAGGATGTGGAAAAGGAGATTTTGTTTGATGAAGAACATTTCAATTTCCCATCCATTGCCCCCTCCATTTACCTGTTGTTGTTGTTTTCAGGCTATACGACATGTTCAGACCATGTACGAAGAGGCTTACCATGATTACCTTAAAGACAGAGGAAAGGGAAATGGGACTCTCATTACCTTCCACTCAACAGTAAGTGTGCCTTCTGAAAATGACATCTTCTTCCAATGATAATGCATAAGACAGCTTCTCTGTAATCACCTTGATTACGAATAAAAATAAATTCAGTCAAGCCAAGCAACACCTCATTATTTTAGCCTTTCTGAGAGCCATCATACGTATTAGGTGCTGGACCCCAGAGAAGGAAGAGGCCCAGCACACAAAGTTCACAAGAGGAAGTCAGGCTATATGCCCCAAACAATTAAAAGAACAAAAGCAAGAACACAGAGAATGCAGTATAAGTAAATAAAAGAACCAAAACAATGCAATTTGAATATTAGGTTTAGTCTGAGCAGTTATTCTTCTATATGCATATAAGGGAAACCATTCTGATTCCAGATAAAGCAAATGGCTCAGAGAAACTAGGTACAATGAGGCTTGCAAAGACAGGAGAAGGGAGAAATATAGGTTAACCATTGGATAATCTTAATATCCACTACCTGTCTGTCAGTTTGTCATACTGCGGTGGCTTTCATGTTGTTGAGATGCTAGAAGCTATGCCACCAGTACTTTAAATACCAGTGGGGTCACCATGGTGAGCAGGATTCAGCTTCACTTCTAGACTAAGACAGGTTAGAAGGAGAGACAGATCACTTTTAAATGGTTAGCCACTTAAAACCTTATAAATAACAACAAATGTTGTCAACTACAGTGCCAGAAGGTGAGTCCCTCGGTTGGGAAGGCACTCAAAATACGACTGCAGAAAAGCTGCCTCCTCAAAGTAGACTTGACATTAGTGAGGTGAATGGAGCAAAGCTTTCCAGACCTTCATTTGCTGATGTGGCACAACTCAAAATGGGAAGAAAGAGCAGCAAACATCTACTAGTAATCAGAATGTGGTATGTACAAAGTATGAATCCAGGAAAATTGGAAGTCATCAAATGTCACAATTGGAGGATGGCCCTGGACCAGGCATTGTTTTGTTCTGTTGTGCATTGTTTTGTTCTGTTTCATTCTGTTGTGCACAGAGTCAGAACTGACTCAACAGCACCTAACAATAACAGTTTTAACATGATTGACATTGAGCTGTTAACCATAAAGTCAGTGGTTCAACCCCACTAGCCGCTCTACAGGAGAAAGATGGGACTGTCTGCTTCAGTAAAGACTTAAAGTCTTGAAACCCTAAGGAGCAGTTTTCTACTTGTCCTCTAAGGTTGAATTGGTTTATGATTTACTGAGTATAGACTTAGCAAACATTATGAGTCAGAATCCATTCGATGGCAGTGGGTGGGTCACCTTTGACTGAGAGCAACTGAAAGCAAGCCACAGATGGTCTCTAGCCCTTCACCCAGCCACACCTTCTGAAATTCAAAATCAATAAGCCTGGTTTCTAACAGAAAATAAAGGAGTTACAACTTTCGATGGAAAAAAAATCTGCTGTCAGGGAGTTCTTTAAAGTGAATATCTGTCAGAGAGAAATTTATAGAAGACATCTTGCTTTGATTTGGGGTTTTCTTTTCAATGAAAATGATCTGCTATCAATTTCTGTCTTTGACAAATACCAGGTTCTCTAGGGTAGCATTGAAGTTCTGGTGTCGTGTTGTGGGTTAATGTGCTGGACTGCAAAGTCAATTTGAACTGCAAGATCAGCAGTTCACACTCGCCTGACATTCCGTAACAACAACAACAAAGGGTCGCATTGTGATGTAACAGAAACAACTGTGCTCTTCAAATCTGAAAATCTCATTTCTAGCAGTAGCTGTGCAACTTAACAATTTTGTAACTTCAAGCTAGTTACTTAACCTCCATACTCAGTTCCCTATTTTGTAAAATAAGGGTCATATAAGTTAGCCATTCTGTAACATTCTGTGGGAATTTGCTGTCAGTAGAGTGCTCAGAGCTCCATGGGTTTCATCAAGGAAGGCTTTATTTATGGAGGAAATGGTTAAGGCCAGGGTCATAAGGATTGTGATATGGAGCCCTGGTGATGCAGTGGGTAAAGTAGTTGGCTGCTCACCTAAAGGTTGGTGTTCAAACTCACCAGCCACTCAACAGAACAACATGGCAGTCTGCTGCCATAACTGTTACAGCCTTGAAACCCCTGTTTTCCTGTAGGATCACTGAGTCAGAATTGACTCAATGCAGTGGGTTGGTTGGGTTTTTGTGATAGGGAGAAAGAGTTATGAACTCCTCAGCCAAGTGTTTTCAAGTATCCCAGTTCTTCTTTGTGACAGGAATGTCTTGGGAAGGCTACCAGATTAGCTGCCAAGATTTTGTACTGTTTGGCTTCAGCTGCCCCAAGGATATCCAAAGCACACAGGTCCCTTTGTGTTTAAAGGGCTATCCCTGAGGCATGACATGACACCTGTGTGCTGGCCAGTCTTCAAACTCTAGTCTCCTGGCCTGGAACTTACTGTGGCCACTTCTGCTTCTCACACTGCCCCAAGCTAATGAGCCCTTCCAAAAGCTCATGCAATATCTTCTACCCAGCAGGTTAACTTCCTCCCAGTTGCAAAGAAAGGATCTAAAGGCCCCAAGTCCTGTCTTAAAAGCAGCAGTTAACAAGATTGTCAGTTCCCTTCCTGCCTTGTTTGAGTTGCCTTGAGTTACTTCCTATCATAAAATTCGAACAACTTTAAGAGAAGTCATTTTCTTGTTTGCCAGCGCAATTATGTGATTCCTCACTCTCTTTCCAGTTTGTGTTACTGAGACTGGGCTTCCTAACCACTTTGTTAGCTTGGCCAGCCTAGTCATTGGCAGTGATGCCCAGACTCATAGCTGTTGTTGCTTCCTCCCTAGTTTTAAACTCTCTCTTCTGATTCTAGTTTCAGTGCTGTGGCAAAGAAAGCTCTGAACAGGTCCAGCCCACATGCCCAAAAGAGCTTCTAAGACACAAGGTAAGCTTCTCCTCCAGGCTTCCGGTCCTCAGTGTCTTATAAATTGATACTTGCCTTCAGATGTAACAGGAGGGAGGCTCAGGTCCTATCTCTGGGGTTCTAAGAGGCCTTCTTCCCGTGGTTTCTGTGCCTCCACTTTATGTAAAATACACAAAGTAATACTGAGTCAGTCTGCCAGTATCCTGGGGGTTGATGGTGGTCTGACCTGCCCTATAATGATGTGAAGTTTTTATGGCATTGATTAAACTCACTGGGCCAGAGTTGTGCTCACTGGGAATGGTGCCGCATACCTCTCCCTAGGAGTCACAGTACTGATCATCACTACTTGTTCAGTGCTGTGTGTCAGGCACGATGTTAGATTAGGAAAATTCAAATATGCAAAAACATGGTCTCTGCCCTCAGCAGCATCTCAGACTAGAGAAGGGAGATGGTGACTTGACAGTGGAAAGACAATGGTGCTAGGAAAGGCTTTGTGTAGAAAGGGATCCTTGAATTCAGTTCTGGCAAAAGAAAGTCATTCCTGGCCCAGAAAGCAGCTGGAACAGAAGAATTGTGGTATGGAACTCCAGAATTTCAGAAGAATGGGGAGTCTTGGTGTGGCTCTGTAGGATCAACACTGGATTAAGAACCACAGGTTTGTGGTTCAATATTCTCCAGTTGTTCGTTGGAAACTCATACATGGTAGCTATGAGTCAGAACTGACTCAGCATCACTTAACAATAACAACAACAGGGAATTCAAAAGGAATAGTGAGTGATTTTTTCAAGAAATAGGCAAGGACATGATTTTATATCAGAAGGTTTGGGGAGCCATGCTTTCAGCACATGATGCTGCTAATCTCAAGGTCAGCAGTTCGAAACCACCAGCTGTTTCGTGGGAGAAAGATGAGGTTTACTGCTCCCGTAAAGATTTACAGCCTCGGAACCCCTGTACAGGGTGGCTATGAGTCGGAACCAACTCCACAGCACATAACCACCACCACCATTGCATTTTTAAAAGAATACTCATGCTGCTAGTGGAACAATGGTTAAGTGCTCAGCTGCTATCCAAAAGATCAGCAATTCAAACCCACCAGCAGCTCCATGGTAGAAAGACCTAGGGTTCTTGTTAAGCACCATCGAGTCAGTTCCAATTCATAGCGACCCTGTATAGGGTTCCAAGTGGCAGCTGGTGATTTTGAACCACCAACCCTGTGGCTCTCAGTCCATACATATTACATCCTGGGAAACCCTTATAGGGTAGTTCTTATATAAGGGATGTAAGAAGGTAACTATGAGTCAGAATTGACTCAACAGCACACAGTAACAGCAACACTCAGGCTGCTAGGTGTGAAAAGTTTGGAATTTAAGTTTGGAAGCTAAAGGAGGGAAATTGTTTAGGCGAAACTTGTGCTTACCCTGATAAAAGATGCTAAGGGGCTAAAACAAGTCACAGACAGTGGACACGGAGTGGAAGCAATAGATTTAAGAGCTAGAATCTACAGAATCAGGAGTTAGAATCAACAGGCCTGGTTGGCCTATTGAATGTAAGCAGGGAGTGAAAGGGAGGAAGCTAAGATTCTCAGATTTCTGTTTGGGTGACTGGGCAGATAGAAAGGTGAATATAGAAAAAGGTGCAGATTCTGGGGGCCTATGGCAGTACCCTCAGTTTTTACAAGAAGTCTGAGTTGAAGACACAGGTGAAGGAACCCCCAGCACTTTGGTGGTAATTGAATTTGTAGTGGAAGAGAATACCCAGGGAGCATGTGTCAAATAAGGAATGAGATGGACTGAGCACATTGTCCTTTATGTGGTAGGACAAGGACAAGAAGTCAGTGCAAGCCAATGGAATACTACTCAGCCAGTAGGAGAAACAGTTTTGATACATACTACGATGTGGATGGAGCTTGAAAACATTATAATGAGTGAAATAAGTCAATCACAAAAAGAGAAATATTGTATGGCCTCACTTATATACAAATATGGATCCTGGTGTGACGCTGTAGGCAAAGCACTTGACTGCAATGTCAGTTTGAACTGCAAAGTCGGCTGTTCATATCCACCAGCCTCTCCTTGGAAACCCTGTACAGGGTCACTATGAGTCAGAACCAACAACAACAACAACATGTGTAAAGATAAGAAAAGGCAAAGAGTTATAAAAGTTTATTAATGGAAGAGAGTGAAGGGTGAGGATTATTGCAATTGTTCTCAATAAGTTGTCCATCTGTAAAAACTTGAATTAGAAAAAGTGTGATAGATCCACTTGCAACAATGGGGGGTGGGAGAGTGGCTTTGAGGCTGCATGTTGTGGTGGTGGTTATTGTTGTTATGTGCCGTGGAGTCGGTTCCGACCCATAGCGACCCTGAAAAGAGTTTCTGAGGCTGGAAATCTTTACAGGAGCAGAAAGCCTCATCTTTCTCCCTTGGAACAGCTGGCAGTTTCGAACTGCTGACCTTGCGGTTCGCAGCCTGATTCATAACCACTACACTACCAGAGCTCCTTGTTGTTGTGGTTAAGTACTGTCAAACAGGTTCCAACTCAGAGCAAGCCTGTATAGGGTTTCCAAGGAGTGGCTTGTGGGTTTGAACTTTCAGCGTTTTGGAGAGCAGTCCAGTGCTTATCCTACAGAGCCATATACAACTAAAACACCTCATGGGATTTGCTATGACGCCATGAGACATCCTAGTTAATTGGCCTGATGATGTGCCTAGTGTTTCTGCTCTTCTTCTGGTTCACTGTATGGTGTCTGAGGTCTCAGAAGTTTGCAAGCCACCATCCAAGGCACAACAATTCATCTGGAACAACAGAGGAAGTAAGAGAGTCAGGAATAGGAGGAGGATATGAAATGTGTGGCTAATTGCCTCCCTTATCATGAGACCAGAAGAACTGGATGGTACCCAGACACCTTTACTGAACATTTTGATCAAAGATTCTATAGAAGAACCTAACTAATAAGGGAAATATGTAGAACAGATTTTCAAATTCTCATGGTCTCCAGACTTACTGGATGAACCCTGAAACTATTGCCCTGAGGTAATCTTTAAACCTTGAACCAAAAATAGCCAAGGTAATCTTCTTAAAACCAAGCAGGAGTTTAGCTTAACTAGTAAAGACCACCTAGCTTGGCATTTATGCTCTTTTAAGAATTACCTATATGGGATCAAAGTGACAACAACTCAAAAGATTTGTGAAAGGAATCTTAGGAAACAGTGAGTTTATTGTCATTGGAGGAGGAGCAACTCAGAAAAGGAGATAAGAACGGTTGCATAATTCAAATTGCGCAATCAATACCTCTGAATTGTATATAAAAGTGGTTGAATTGGTGTATTTTTTCTGTGTATATACTTGACAACAGTAACAACAGAAATTCCAATGGAATTAAGTTAAAAAAATAAAGAAGTCAGTGGAAGAGACAGTGAAGTAAAGGAAGAGTCAGAATCAGGGGAGAGTCTAAAGACAGTGGCACATAAGAAGCCAAGGAAGGCGATAGTTGTCCATAAAGTCAAATGCTGGGAGGAGGACAAGCAAATGATGACTGAAAACCATTGGTTGGAGTTGATGCTTCTTGTTGTTAAGTGTCATTGAGTTGGTGCCAACTCATAGCGACCCATCTAAGGTTTCCAAGGCTGTAAACCTTCGCATGCATAGAAATCCTCATCTTTCTCCCTCAGAACAGCTGGTGGGTTTGAACCTGGTGGTAGTTAGCAGTCCAGTGCTTATACTGGTCGTTAATGACCTTTGCCAGACAGTTGAGTGAAATGCTTGGGAAAAACACAAGTACATTGGGAAAGAAGGAAGAAGATATGAGAATGTGGGGACAATGACGCTTTAGGCATTTGGCTTTGATGAGATGGATGAGATTTTAGTTATGACTTGCATCATGAATCATTCATTGAATACCTATTTAATCCTTCTGAGGCTTCTAAAATAAGACATCGTCATTGTCCTCAAAGTGTCCACCACATGGCTGGGAAGACAGACAGGCAAGTCATTAACACCACGTGGGGTGAGTAAAGACTATGCTAGAGGGACATGTTAGTAGACTCAGACAGGTGTTTGGAAGTCAAAGGCTCACGGGAGACTTTCCTGACATAGTTCTTAGGGTGAATTTTGAAGGATAAACAGGAACCCAATCAGCAGACTAAAGTATGTGGGCTATTCTAGGCAAAGGAGACAGGCAAAAGCAGGGAGACAAAAGAAGGCAAGTGTTCTCAGCTAAGTGCAAGCAGCAGAAGTGGTTGAAACTCCAGGGTACTTGTGAGAGAAGAATACTTTGAAGAAAGGGAAATCGTTTTTGAAGAGTTTCAATACTCTTGTGAAGCTAAGAATTTGAACTTCACACTGCAAGCTTAAGGAAGGTGTTGAAGGTAGAATTTGAGGTGAGAAATAGACACAATCAAATTTGCATTTTAGAGACCAGTTTAGAAAGTTGCTATGGTTGTCAGTCAAGAGACAGTAACTGGTAACCAGCTGAACTGAGTGGCAGGAATGGAGAAGAGAAAGACATTAGGAGAGTAAAACCTACAGAAACTGGTGGTCTGCTAGATATGAGAGAAGAGGGGAAAATTCTCTGCTGGTTTCTGGCTTCACTGCCTGGATAGATAATGGCTTTCATTTGCTGAGTTGAGGAATGAAGGAGCAAATTTTAGAGAAAAGAAAACAAGTGTAGTGTTAAACATGCAATTTTGAGGAGGAAGTGGAACTTTCCAGTTGGAAATGCCCAGTGAACAGTTGGAAAATCTAGTGTATGACTCAGGAGAGAAGTTTGAACGTCTGTACTTTATAAGGATCTTGAAGTTGTAGGTATAGGATTGATCCATTAGGTTTAGAAGACACAGACAAGGATAGAACCCTGGAGAATAGCATTTAAAGGTGAGCAGAGAAAGGATTTTCAAGTAAGGAAACTGGGAGGGAGACCCATGTGAGTATCCTGTGGGCATCATGGAAGAAGATGTAGGGAATAGTCACCAGTGTCATGTGCTGTTATTGAGCATTTAGTGACCACCTACCATATACAAAAATGGACATGAGTGACCCAAAGTTAGTACTCTGAAAGAACTTGCAGTCTAATTGAGGAAAGGAACACAGAACTAGATAAAAAACTATAACCGAGTTATACACAGAACGTGTATGATGCCAAGAAAGCACAGAGAGGTCAGGAGTTGGGGCAATAGGGGAAGGCTTCCTGGACAATAATGTATCTGAAATTAGCTAAATCTTCAGGTAAAAGAAATACACAAGCACTGGGCAGTAGATGGGCTGCGGGGAGACAGCCTACAGAACAGTGGAAGACTGACACAGAAGCCGAAAGCATGATGTGGGGAATTAAAAGCCCAAGACCTGGTGTGTTGCTGTAGAAAAAGTACTGAACTGCTAATCTTAAGGGCCAATGAAAAGAAGAAGGCCCCAACAAGATGGATTGGCACTGTGGCTGCAACATGACAACAGTTGTGAGGGTGTCACAGGAAAGGGCAGTGTTTCATTCTGTTGTGGGAACTGACTTGACAGACCCTAACAACAACAGCATGACTGTGGAAGGCTAGAGGGTTTGGTATGCTCATGTCTTCTGATTCAAAAACTTCACACCCTAGAGTTCTTCTAAAAAGAAAAAAATATTTATCGTAAATGTGGACAGAGATTTTGTACAATAGTATTCATAAGAACAATACATTGGATATACTCTAAATGTTTAAAAGTGGGGAAATATTTAAATAAATTATGGTCCATTCATAGGATGAAATACTTTATAGCCATTAAGAATCATGATATCACAGAATTTTTAATGAAACATTTAAAAAATTATATGTTAAATTTAAAAAAAGCAAAAAATACCATTGTATATAAAGAATAAAATAAATGTGGGAACATAAGAAAATATACCAAAAATGTTGCATATTATCATTAGTGATAGGCGTACAGATGACTTTTTTTCTGATTTGGTTTCCAAATTGCTTTAATAAGCATTTACTCCATTTATAATTAAACAAAGCTAGGCTTTCTACTCCCGTAAGGATTTACACCCTCGGAAACCCTGTACAGGGTCGCTATGGGTCGGCTCCGACTCGAAGGCACTTAACAACAACAACAACAATATATGTTTTGTTAGTTTGTTTTGAAGACTTCCTGGGAAGATCAGGGAGAATGTGATCAGGAGAATGTGATCCAGAGCCCAGGTCCCATAAAGGAGTTGCCTTCCAGCAGAGAAGGGGCATCGGTGTGGTCCTTGAGAGGGAAAGAGGAAATAGCGGTACTGCCTTAGTAACCCTGAACTCAGTTCGTATGACAGTCTCTGGTGCTGAATGAGTGGAGCAGCTAAATATATAGGGAGGGAAAGGAAAGTTGGAGGAATCGCTATAGGCTGACTCTCATTTTCTCCAAGAAGTAAGGGAGCCATTGTTTAGAGAAGCAGCTCTCAAACTTTTTCAGTAATACATTAGTTATTTTTTTTTTGTGGATATGTAACTTTCTATAAACTGTGAGTTCACTGAAAGCAGAAACCATGTCATTTACTTCCATGTCCCCCATCCCTATTCCAGTGATTGATGCAAGGTAGACACTCAAGAAATGCTATTGAATTAATGAAATGTGATAAGAGACATGAGGAAAGTGGTAAAGATTTGGTGTAGTTTATTTGAGGATCAGAGGGAGTTGACCCTGGACAAAGAAAAAGGATTTGGGCTGCCACAGTTAAGAGCAAACCTCTGCGCTTAAGAGGATTCCAAATAAGAAACTTTGAAGCTGGAGAAATTATGATCACGGGTTATCTTCTCACCCTGTCCAATTTTTTTCTCCATCTAACAAAGTTATTTGAACCCAACCCACTGGAGTCTCTTAGGGAGCCAAATGAAAGAATAAGAAGCCATCTAGTCCAGTTCAGCCACCAAATAAGACAGAAGTCCTTCAGCTCTCAAGAACTTGGCTTCCCTAAGTCTTTTGTTAGATTTTCAGTTTCTTAGTGGGTAATGCCTATCTTATATAATTGGATCAAGTATGTAGAAAAGCTTTTAAATTGTAAATTATAATCCAAAAGTAATGGGTTATTATTTTACTGATATTTTACTTATTATCCTTTGCTGAAAGTAAGAAGCCCCCAAATTTAAATGCCTCAGATGCTAGAATTGCTTCTTCCCACCAGGTTTCAAGGTTCTAACGCAGCCACTGGCTTAAAAAGGATAATCCAACCAAAAGGAAAGGACTGTGTCTTTCTCCCCCAAATTATGTTTTTGCTTCAAGGTTCTTGCTTTAAACTGGTGTTATCAAAGAGCAATAGTTTCAAAATTATTAGGAAGTCGCTTGGATGTATGCTTTCGTTAACTCTCACAGGATGATCTGTGGAGAAGGCATGGAATGGGCTAGGGTGATTTCACATATAGAATCAAT